CCACTCCAACCCACCCCCTTCTGCCCCAGTTAGCCCCACCCCAGCCACCTGCCTGGGCCATCTCCCATCCCTATCTATCTTACCTTGGCCATGCTCCATCCTGCCCAGGCCACGCCCCAGTCACACCCACCTTACCCAAGCCACACCCCACACCTGCCTAGGTCACACCCCAGCTTGCTCAGCCACTCCCCACCTGCCATGCTCAGCCCTGCCCAGGCTCAGTGCCCAGCACTCTTGACGGTCACCTCAGCCAGGCCGGGCCACCCTGCCCCACAGGGAGAGCCTCTGCAGCCGGCCCGGCCTCGTGTGCTCACCTTCATCCATGCCATTGAGCACCTGGTCCAGGTAGCTCTCGCTGTAGCGGTTGCGATGCTCCTTCCAGACGGAGCCGTTCTCGCTGCGCAGCACCACCAGCTCCCGGTCCCGCCGCCCGGCCGACGCAAAATGCGGGATCTCCACGATCACAGGGCTGCAGGAGAGCAAGGCACTGAGGTGGGCCACCACCACCACCCGCTGCTGCAGCAGGGAGCCAAGCCACCGGACAGGGGAGGGCAGGAAAGGCTAGTGGGCAAAGCCCAGAAGAGGGAGCCAGGACATCTGTGGTTGGGGACTCACCCTATGGCCTTGGGAAAGTCTCTTCGCACGGATCCTCAGCCCCATGCCCCGGGGGGCACAGGAGTAGCTGCTTGCACAGGACTCTGCAGGTCCCATTACACCCATGGGGAGCAATCCCATTGGCTCTGGCACCGCTCCATGGGGGCAACGCCCCGGCTGCAGGCTGGCACGACTCCATTGACCTAGGCAGCGCCAGCTGACCCCAGCAAAGGGCCACTGCTGCCCGCACAGTGGAGCTGCCGTCTCCCCTACTCCCTGCAGGGGGGCTGAAAGTGGGGCCCTGGCTAGGAATGGGCACCGCCCACTGCTCACCTCAGGAACTGCGCCCCAGCGGGCCCCAGGGCGATGATCCTGCTGGCCAGACCCTCCTCCTCCGCCAGGGGCGGCGGCGTGCTCAGTTTCT